CAATATTACTCTACCAACTGAGACAGCCATATTCCCAGCCTTAAATTTAATCTAAGCTATCTATCTATATCCATCTATCATCTATCTATATCATCCATCCATCCATCCATCCATCCATCCATCCATCATAGTCAGAAGTGTTCCTATGTCCCGCCCCATCCCGCATCCACTTGGACCCAAATAAACACACAGATGCTTAATATTAATTGCAAACTGTTTGGCCTATGGCTCAAGCTTCTTATTAACTAGCTCTAATAACTTACATTAACCCATTTCTAATAATCTATGTGTTGCCATGTGGCCATGGCATTACCGGTCTGCTGGCATTGTGTTGCTCCTTAGGTAGCGGGCTGGCATCTCCTCCCACTCTCCTGTCTTCTCTCACTATGTCTCTTGGATTTTCTTACCTGGCTCTATCCTGCCCTGCCATAGGCCAAGGCAGCTTTATTTATTAGCCAATGGGAGCATCACATATTCACAGCATACAGAAAGACATCCCACAGCAATCCATCCACCCATTTATCCATCCATCTATCCATCCATCCATCATCCATTTATCCATCCATCTATTCATCTATCCATCATCCATTTATCCATCCATCTATCCATCCATTCATCCATCTATCATATCATCTATCATCTATCTATCTATCTATCATCCATCCTTCCTCCCTCCCTCCCTCCCTCCCTCCCTTCCTTCCTCCTTCCTTCCTTCCTTCCTTCCTTCCTTCCTTCCTTCCTTCCTTCCCTCCTTCCTTTTTTTGTACTGTGGATTAAACTCAGGGCTTGCACATTCTAGGCAAGTTCTCTACCCCTGGGCTATACCCCATTCCCTTTGAAAATAAAATTTGATGGGGAGCCCTAGTGAGATGCCTTAGTGGGTAAAGTATTTGCCATGAAAGCCCAGTGGCCGGAGTTTGATCCCAGACCCATATAAAGGTGGAAGGACAAAGTCAACTCCACACAGTCACCTTCTGACCTCTGTGCACACTTTCCCATACCTCATAAACCAGTTGTGGTGGTTTGAATGAGCATGGTCCCCACAGGCTAATATGTTTACACGTGTGGTTTCTAGTTAGTGGAGATGTTGTTTGGGAAGGCTTAGATGTGACCTTGTTGGAGTAGGTGTGTCACTTGGGATGGGCTTTGAAGTTTCAAAACCCCATGCCAGGCCCAGAATGGCTCTCTGTCTCCTGCCTGCAGATCAGGATGTGAGCTCTCAGCCACTGCTCCAGCACCAGGCCTGCCATGATGGTCCTAGACCAATTCTCTGAAACGGTAAGCAAGCCCCCAGTGAAAAGTTCTCTGGTATAAGCTGCCTTGATCATGATGTCTCTTCCCAGTAATAGAACAGGAACTAAGACATATACCATAATAAATAAAAATTAAAATAAAGAAGATTTTGACAGAGTCTCCAGGGCAGCTGACTCTGGCCTGGAACTCACCGATCCCCTTGCCTCAGCCTCTCGGGGGCTGGTATTACAGGCATGCACCACCACACTCAGCTGGGTTTTAATCTATTTACCATATGTGTTGCATATCCAGAACCATACACATAGTATTTTGTAATGATTTGAAAAAGCGTCCATGAGTGCTGTCATGCTGCAACTAGATCCCTGGGGCTTTCCCTTTTTACCTAACCTTTTCTGGATCTTTCCGTGTCAGCCCATATAGCTCTCATTTATTCTAGCCAACCTCAGGTCACCCCTCAAAGGAGTTTCCAAGAGTATTTATGCATCTCTCTACTGATGGGAAGAACCTTCTGCAGGTCTGCGCTTGTTACTACTGAGAGGATGTTTCTATAAGGGGTTCTTTTGCCAATGGGGGATGCGCAGTAAGGTGAGTATAAACTAGAGCATGTGAATGATAGGTTGTCTTTTTTAAACCCCTCACAGGGGGGCGGGTTCTAGGCAGGGGCTCTACCACTGAGCCCAACCCCAGCCCCTCACTAGGGGATTCTAGGCAGGTGCTCTACCACTGAGCCACATCCCAGCCCCTCACTGGGGCATTCTAGGCAGGAACTCTACCACTGAGTCACACCCCAGCCCCTCACTGGGGCATTCTAGGCAGGTGCTCTACCACTGAGCCATACACCCAGCCCCTCCCTGGGGGATTCTAGATAGGTGCTCTACTACTGAACCACACCCCAGCCCCTCACTGGGGGATTCTAGGCAGGTGCTCTACCACAGAGCCACACCCCCATTCTCTCACTGGGGGATTCTAGGCAGGTGCTCTACCACTGAGCCACACCCCAGCTCCTCACTGGGGGATTCTAAGCAGGTGCTCTACCACTGAGCCACACCCCAGCCCCTCACTGGGGGATTCTAGATAGGTGCTCTACTACTGAACCACCCCTTCAGCTCTTGGTCAATTTCCAGTTTTAGTTTCTCACATGTTTCATGGGCAGCTTTGCATAATTGTTTCCTGTAAGGATCTCTGAGATCCTGCGTCAGGCTCTGGGTTTTGCATGAATTTCTATTTGTCTCATAAAGTCATCGGCATGTGGTGTACAACTCTTTTGTTTTTTGCTAAGAAAGAGGAGATAGTATCTCACTGTGGCTTTGATTCACATTCCAGCCTGATTACTAATGATTTGAGCATCTTTATACAAACATGACGGTTGTTTTGGTTTCTTTTGGTTAATCGATTTGCCCCTGTGTCCTATCAGGTTCTTTGATTTTTAAAAAATGTTTTTAAGCTCACTCTTTCTTTCTTCCTCCTCCTTCTCTCCCCCTCCCTCCCTCTCTCTCTCCTTCCTTCCTTTCTTCCTGTGGCTGTGAATGTACACAGGATCTCTCTTGTGGAGGTCAGAGGACAACTTGGAGCAGTAGTTTCTTTTTTTCCACCATGTGGATCCTGGAACTGGAACTGACGTCATCAGACTTGGTATTAAGCACTTTATCAAAGACCTCTGGTTTTCTTTCTTCCTTCTTCCCTCTACCACCTCTCTCTCTCTCTCTCTCTCTCTCTCTCTCTCTCTCTCTCTCTCTCTCTCCCTCCCTCCCTCCCTCCCTCCCTCCCTCCCTCCCCAGTGATGGCAGTGGACCTCAGTCTCTTGCACATATTAGCCATATACTCTACCACTGGAGCCATCTCCAGTTTTTGGCAATCAGTTCTACCCTCCCACCATGTGGATCCCCAGGATCGAACTCGGGTCAACAGACTTGATAGGAAGTCCCTTTACCCGCTGGCCCATTATTTTCTTCTTCCTTTCTTTTTGAGACAGAATCTCTTCCTCTTTTTTTCATTTTTTAAATTTTTTTTTTTTTTTGAGGCAGGGTTTCTCTGTGTAGCCCTGGCTGTCCTGGAATTAGCTCATTATGTAGACCAGGCTGGCTTTGAACCCAGAGATCTACCTGTCTCTTCCTCCAAGGCATGTGCCCCCACCATGGGGCTGAGACAGGGTCTCTTTATGCCGCCTTGGCTGTTCTGGAACTAGGCTGTAGACCAGGCTGGCCTCAACATAATCAGAGATCCACCTGCCACTGCCTCCCCAGTGTTGGGCTTAAAGATATGTTCCACCACGCTGGGCTCCGTTATTTCTAATCCTTTCTTTTATTGTTTTCCGAAGTATACAAAAAAGATCAATATGTCATTATGCACATTTGTATGGGAACTTGTATTTTTTTTCTTGCTAAAAATGGCTTTATTCAAGTCACATAAATTAAAAAAAAATCATGTTAAGAAACTTGAGCCGGGCGGTGGTGGCACACGCCTTTAATCCCAGCACTAGGGAGGCAGAGGTAGGCAGATCTTTGTGAGTTCGAGGCCAGCCTGGGCTACAGAGCGAGATCCAGGAAAGGTTCCAAAGCTACACAGAGAAACCCTGTCTCGAAAAACCAAAAAAAAAAAAAAAAAAAAAAAAAAAAAGAAACTTGAAATAGCAGGGTGCGAGGCAGAAGAATCAGAAGTTAGCCTCAGACACACAGAGAGAAATGGAGGCCAAGCTGGATGTATTGCTTGTCAAACATGTGCAAGATCCTGGTTTCAACCCCTAGTTCTGTACAAATAAAGAGGGGGGCGGTGGGGCGCATGCCTTTAATCCCATTACTCAGGAGGCAGAGCCAAGCAGATCTCTGAGTTTGAGGCCAGCCTGGTCTACAGAGCTCATTCCAGAACAGCCAGGGCAACACATAGAAACCCTGTCTCGGGGGCGCGGGGGCAGGGAGAGGAAGAAAGAGGAAGGAAGGAAGGAAGGAAGGAAGGAAGGAAGGAAGGAAGGAAGGAAGGAAGGAAGGAAGGAAGGAAGGAAGGAAGGAAGGAAGGAAGGAAGGAAGGAAGGAAGGAAGGAAGGAAGGAAGGAAGGAAGGAAGGAAGGAAGGAAGGAAGGAAGGAAGGAAGGAAGGAAGGAAGGAAGGAAGGAAGGAAGGAAGGAAGTGGGGTGGTTTGGAAGGAAGGAGGTGGGGTGGTTTGAAGATTGTGAGTCTCATTATCTCTGCGTGGTTCCTCTTCTTGTAACCCAGGCATTGACCGGAAATGCACAAGGAACGCTCTCAGGAGCCCCAACAAGCCTCTTACTGGAAACCGGCCTCGCAGGTGATTTGGCAAAAATCAGAAATTTTCTCAGGCCGGGCGCGTCCTGCTGGCCCCGCGGTGTTTTCCGCCCCCACGCGGCAGCGTTGCGGTACTGCGCCCGCGCGGAGTGCTTCTAGGTCTTGCTCTGAGGGGGACGCGATCATGCTTCTCCAGCGGGGATCCAGAACGGCGCCCACTGGCATGGTGCAAGGCAGCATCCACTGGTCCCTCGGTGCTCTGGTCCTCTGTATGGGGGAACTCCAACAGAGTGCATCGTTCTCCAGCCGGATGTTGATGGGAAGAGAGAAGGGGCAGGTAGGGAGGCTGAGGACAGAGGGATCTCAGTTGAGGGAGCTAAACTGAGGCTCCTCCCGCGGCAAATTGGCTCCCCTCGGACCCAACCTGGAAGGTAAGGCCATAGATTCCATCTCCTCCAGCCTTCTCTGTTTCCTTTTTCCCTCCCTCCCTCCTCACCATCCATGCCCGGCAGGTAAACTAGACTGATTCTGAGATGTGCTCTGAGCTGTTTCCCCAGGGGTCCCCAACCACAGGTTACCCAAAGCCTAAACCTGCTATTAATACACCTGCTGTGAATGGCTATCCTGGGCTACAGGGTGAGTGTGCCTCCAAACAAAAACCAAATCCAAATAAAAAAGGCTAGGTGTGGTGACTCATGCCTGCTGTTCCAGCTTTCGGGAAGTGGAGGCAGGAGGATCAGGACTTCAAGGTCATCTTTGGCTACATAGCTGGTTTGAGGCCAGCCTGTGCTACCTGAGACCTTCTCTTAAAAAATAAATGAATAAAAAGAAAGAAAGACAGGCAGGATAGATAAAGAACTGATCCTAGAGATCAGCCATCCATCTGGTCCGTGGTCACAGCATAGCCAGATTTGACCTGAGGTCTCAGATGAGGGGGGAAAGCGGATCTAGAGAAAGGGACAGTGGCCCATGTGGCAACTGGGTCCCCATGGTAACTAGACCCCCACCCTGTGGCATCTGTGAGGTCACCCTGCCTCTCCTGGCTGGAGGAATGGATGGAGGCCAGACATGGAGGCCGCTCCCCAGGCCAGATCCAGCCTCCTCAGAATTCTGCTGCGGGTTGGGAAGCTCTCTGTGATGGTAAGCATGGTGGGGATAGGGGACCTGGAGAGATTCAGCGGTTCCTGGCCACCAGGGAATAACCACCGTACTCCCAGAAGCCCCATTCCCAGACTACTGTGGCATGGCCGTCTATCAGCCATCTTCCTTCCTCCCCTCCCCCTCCTTTCTTTCCTCTCTTCTCCTTCCTTCTTTTTGTTTACGTATTTTTCGAGACAAGGTCTCATTATGTAGCCCTGGCTGTCCTGGTACTTGCTATGTACAGCAGGCTGGCCTTGAACTCCCGGAAATCTGCCTGCCTCTGCCTCCCCCAGCGCTGAGACTAAATATGTACACCATTACACCTGGTCCTTTCTTTCCTTTAAAAAATATTTTGTGGTGTGTGTGCGTGTGTGTGTGTGTGCGTGCGTGCGTGCGTGTGTGTGTGCGTGCATGCGTGTGTGTGCGCGCGCGTGCGTGTGTGTGTGTGCGTGTGTGTGTGCGCGTGTGTGTGTGCGTGTGTGTGTGCGTGCGTGTGTGTGCGCGTGTGTGTGTGTGCGTGTGTGTGCGTGCGTGTGTGTGTGTGTGTGTGTGTTGGGAGTCATTTCTCCCCTTCCACCATGTGGGTCCTGGGTTTCGAACTCAGGTCATCAGGCTTGGCAGCAAGCACCTTTACCTGCTGAGCCATCTCACTGACCCACTTTCCCTTTCCTCTCCCTGCCCTTCCCCTCCTCCTGCGTCCCCCCTCCCTTCCCCCCCTTCTTATTTCCTTCTGGTGTGAATGCCTGTGGGTGTGATGTGTGTACATGTGTGTGGATGCACATGCCTGTGGCCGCACACAGAAGCCACAGGAAGGCCCCGGATGCCCTCCACCATCACTCTACCTCCAGCCTCTGAACTTGGAGCTGATGGGGTTGTTTATTTTGTCTTGTCTGGCAGCTTAACAAGCCCCAGAGGTCCCCCTGTCTTCAACTCCTTTGGTGCTGGGGCTGCAGGGATGCCCTGGACCATGCCCACGCTGGCTTATTATTGTGGGTGCTGGGACCCGAACTCTGCTCTAGAGCAGGAAACACTCTTTCTTAACTGCTGAGCCATTTCTCCAGTCCCCACTTCTCGTCCCCCCTACTGCTGTCTCACTATGTGGTCCAGGCTGGACTCAAACTCACCACGCTGCCCAGGCTAGCCTCAAATTCGCTGTATAGCCCAGGCTGGCCTTGAACTCTTGACCCGCTGGGACGACAGGCGTGTGCCCCCCCGATGCCTGGCTTCTTATCCTGGTCCTTCAGAGCCTGCAGTCCCTGGACGCTGACGGTCCTGTGGGCCAGGGGGTCCAGGTTGATCGCCTCTGTCACCCATGGGCTGGAGGCTCTAGGCTCTACCAGGGAGGCTTCCTCTTCAGGAAAGCATTCTCAAGCCCGACCTCACTCCCCTTAATCCCGATCCTTGGTGAAGAGAAGACACTCGTGGTTAACCCGCCACTCAGATGAGAGACCGGGAAATCTAATGTCTCCCCCCCCTCTACCCCTGACAGGAGGTCTGTCATCAATCTCTGCCACCCCTCCCCCACGTCTCGACATCTCTCTGTCCCTAATGAAACCTTTGTTTACAGATGCCGAGGGCAACCAGGGGCACGCCTGGGTACTCGAGGGAAGTCAGCCAGCCTGTATTCAAATCCTGTAGAGTTAAGGGGGAGGTCACATCTACCTATTTGTTTTTAATTTGTTTGTTTGGTTTTTTTTTGAGACAGGATCTCTCTGTGTAGCCTTGGCTGTCCTGGATCTCGCTCTGTAGACCAGGCTGGCCTTGAACTCACAGAGATCCACCTGCCTCTGCCCCCAAGTGCTGGGATTAAAGGCATTCTCCATTACCACCCAGTTGTTTTTATTATTTATTATTATTGTGTGTGTTGGGGGTTGTAGCACCCATGTGGAAGTCAGAGGAAGATTTGGGGGCGTTGGTTCTTTCCTTCCTTTGCACAGGTTCCGGGATCATATTGAGGTCACCAGGCTTGTGGGGCAAGAGCTTTAACCACTGAGCCATCTCTGTTTGTTCCTTTGCTTGGTTTCCTGTAGACTAGGCTAGCTTTGAACTTCCTATGGAGCCAAAGAAAACCTTGAATTCTTGATCTTTCTGCCTCTACCTCCCAACTGCTGAGTCTGCAGGCATGTACCACGTTTCTTGGTTTTATCCACAGCTGAGCTACATCCCCATGCTTGGAAGTCACTCTTTAAAGATTATAGGCCGGGCGGTGGTGGCGCACACCTTTAACCCTAGCACTCAGGGAGGCAAAGGCTGGAGGAGCTTTGTGATCTCCAGGACCATCAGGACTACATAGAGAGACCCTGTCACAAAAGAAACCAAAGTCAAATCAATCAATCAATCAATCAATCAATCCATCACCAATCAATCAAATAAAAGAGGGACTTTTCTTGTGCAGTCAAGTGAACCGAGACTCGGCCCACAGTGACTGGGCAGCCCCTATGTCTAAAGCACAGGTTGGGTTCCACCCAGTTGGGCGGCACTGGTAACGCTGGTGTCCCTGTCTTCCTGCAGCTGCTCCAGAACCGCACGCACTTGTACCGCTTCCTGCTCCTGAAGATGGCTGTCTTTCAGCAGTGGGTGTCGGGGCTGGCCCAGGAGGCCCGGGGCTCCGGCCGTGACCAGACCCACCAGCTTCTGGGAGTCATCATAACCTGCATCCTGAGCTTGGCCCTTCGAGCTGGACTGGCATTGCTGTGGGCCCCGCTGTGGTTGCTGCTCTGCGGACCCAGGCTGGCATACAAAGTCGGGCTGTGCTGCACTCATACTGTGAGACTGGCCCTGGGGCACCTAGGTGCCTGGGAACCTCTGGGCCTGTCTGCAGCCACCACCTTCAGGGACCTGTTTATCTCCTGTCTGCATAGCCTGATGCTGGTGGCCTTGCTGATGCTGCTGTTGACCTGGAGGCTGGTACAGAAAGCTCATCACTTCAGTCTGGGCTGGCTGCCCAGCCAGGTGGGTTGACAGGGATGCAGGCTGGGGATGCTGATAGGCTGGGGACTCTGGCTGTGATCAAGAGCGCTCAGTACTGGCCATGGGCAGGTCCTGGGGCCCACTTAGCATGTTCTTTTTCTTTCTTTCTTTCTTTCTTTCTTTCTTTCTTTCTTTCTTTCTTTCTTTCTTTCTTTCTTTCTCTCTCTCTCTCTCTCTCTCTCTCTCTCTCTCTCTCTCTTCTCTTTTTTAAAGATTTATTTGTTATGTATAGTGTTCTGCTTGCGAGTATGCCTGCCTGCCAGAAGAGGGCGCCAGATCTCATTACAGATGGTTGTGAGCCACCCTGTGGTTGCTGGGAATTGAACTCAGGACCTCTGGAAGAGCAGCCAGTGCTCTTAACCGCTGAGCCATCTCTCCAGTCCCTAGCAAGCTCTTTTTCTTTCTAATTTTTTATTCTTATTTTTAAATAGAGTGTGTGAGTGTTCGTGTGTAATTGTTTGTATTTGTGTGTGTGTGTGTGTGTATGTGTGTGTGTGTGTGCATGTGCATGTGTGTGTGCACATGCAGGCGTCCCCAGAAACCAGAAGAGGACATCAGATTCCCTGGAGCTGGTGTTACAAGGAGCTGTGAGCCACCTGATGTGGATAATGGGAACTGAACTGAAGTCCCCTGCAAGAGCGGTTTATGCTCTTACCCATTAACCTATCTCTCCAGCCCCATAGAATGTTACTTAAAAAAATTATTATTATTCATTTGTGTGTGCACACATATGTGTGTAGGAATACTTGTGCCAGCACACAAGTGGGTGTCCAAGAAAAACAAGATTTGTTTCTCTCCTACCATGTGGGTACTGGGGCTCAAACTCAGTTTTCTGAGCCGTTCCTTTGGCCCTTCCTTACCCACGCTCTTGCTTGCCTGGACCCTCCTGCAGAATTCTGTGTTGCTGGAAACCCTGGCACTCCTGAGACGCCTCTACCTATGGGTGGAGCGCATGACCACACTCACCTCCTGGAACCTGGCCTACCTTGTCACTTGGGTCACCTGCCTTGCTTCCCACCTGCTTCAGGCTGCCTTCGAACACACAGCCCAACTGGCCCAGGCTCAGGAAACCAAGTCCCAGGAGACCTCAGGGCCCCCCTCGCCTCAGTTCTTAATTCCAGAATCCACCACTGAGGCTGGGCCCCTCCCATCCCAGCCTGAAACTCCCGGAGAATAAATGTGTCCCCCACCTGCCTTTCGGACTCATCATCCTTCTACCTAGCTGGACTGGAAAGCTATTCTGTGTCACATGTGTGCATGTGTGTATCTGTGTGTGCTTGTCCTTGGGTACACATGGATGAAATCCCAGGCCCAGGCACCTCTGGGATGGAAATCACATTCCCCAAGCCCCTTTCAGGTATCGCATATCAACTTCCTCAGACACTTTACATATGGTTTGGATTGTCTCCTAGCAACCCCAGCCTCTGGCTTGACTATCATTTTCCACACAAGAAAATTGAGCCTTGGGGATTGGTCATTTCCAAGGTCACGGAACATGTCCCAGCCAGCTCAGGTCTCCAGGTGGCCTTGCTTCCCGGGCTTCTAACTAAATCTACGCCCTTGGTTTTCAGTTCTCCAGGGGCTTAAAGGGAACTGGGCAGTTAGAGACTCTGGCCTCTGGGGGGTGCCAGGACCTCACAGTTTAGAGATGTAGACCAATTCTTGCGAGCATCACTCTCAAGAAAGTCTGGAAGTAGCTCTTTCATTCCCTCACACAAAGCTCTCAATCTCCCCACTCACCATTCATCTGCACACCTGCCAATCCATCCATAGGACCCTCCCTCCCTCCCTCCCTCCCTCCCTCCCTCCCTCCCTCCATCTATGCATCATCATCCCTCCATCCACTCAAAATTCATCCATCTCTCCATCCCTCCAACCATCTCAAATTCACCCATCTATCCTCTCCATCCAAAAGTTCACCAACCCTACCCCACCCACCCATCCATCTACCCCCAAATTCATTCTTCTATCCCCTCACCCCCAAGTCCATCTATCTATTCCCAGATATATCTGTCCACCCTTCCCTCCATTCGTCCACAAATCCACAAGTCTATTCTTCCCTGTCTCCAAAAATGTCACATCACGGAAAGACTGTCAATCTCCCCACCCAGGCATGAGAAGACTGATCCAGCCTCCACAGCCCCTCACTGGTGAGTGAGGGCAGGGTCCTTCAGACGCATTCTAGCTCAGGCTCTGGCCTGGGTCTTAGGTGAGTGATTCTTAGGAGAAAAGAGGAGGGGCTGGTTTTCTGAGAGTCAGCCATCCCCTCCCCCACCCCTTTCCCTAGCTCAAGAACTGGCGCCCATGTGTGTGCAGGGAGGGTCAGAGAACCTTGGTTACCCCACTCCCACCAAATACCCCCTTCCTCATTTTCAAGGCAGCTAGTGCCTCCCTGATGACTGCAAATGTCTAGGCTAGCTGTGTCTTGCAGGTCGTTCCTCCAAGTCCAAGGAGCAACTTACCTGCCTTCGAGAGACAGCCAGTGGTTTCTTTGTTCAGGGTAGAACAGTTATTGGGGTGTGTGTGTGTGTGTGTGTGTGTGTGTGTGTGTGTGTGTGTGTGACAGCTATGAGCTCCTGAGTAAAGGGCAGCTTCTCCTAGATTCCAGAGCACCCACAAATTGCTGGGAAACCTGGGTTTCCAGGCGCAGGAAGGTGTTTGAGCTGCTTGGGGTCAAGGTAGGCCTCAGGGCACCCGGGCTAGAACAGGGTGGGCAAACAAGTGGAGAGAGGTTCAAAGCCCAGAGAGGGAGAGGAGGGGAGGTGACAAAAGTCTGAGCAGGGGACACAGTGCTAAATAAGGTGGGGTTTGGGCTGGGGTGGCATCAGCCCTGGCACTGAACTGAGGTGAGCGTATGTGTGATACTGGCATGTTTTTCCTTTTAGTAGTTCTGTGTGTGTGTGTGTGTGTGTGTGTGTGTGTGTGTGTGTGTGTGCATGTGTGCATGCATGTGTGTGTGTGTGCGTGTGTGTGTGTGTGTGTGTGTGTGCACGCACACGCGCGCACATGTGCATACATGCAGGTACTTGTGGCGGCCAGAGGTTGGCCCCCTCTGTTACTTTCTACCTCTCTCTCATTGCGAATGAGGCTTGCTGGTTTTGCTAGACTGTCTGGCCATGGATTCCCCAGGGAGCCCTCTGTCTCTACCTTCCCAGGGCTAGGATTGCAGTCCTGTACCACACACCTAGCCTTTTTAACACGGGGTTTGGGGGTTGAGGCCAGGCTTCATACATACATAGCATATACTTTACTAACTGAGCTGTCTCTACAGCCCTTATTTTATTTTATAGTTTAGTTTGGGACCCAGGATCTGGCTACATAGCCTAGTCAGGCCTCAAATTCACTCAATTCTCCTGCCTCTGGTTCTTGAGAGCTAGGATTATAGGCACACACCACCATGCCTGGCTAACTTTTATAGTTATTTACTTTGTGTGTGTGTGTGTGTGTGTGTGTGTGTGTGTGTGTGTGTGTGTGTGTGTGTGTGATGGGGTCTTACTATGTAGCCTTGTGATTTCAACCTCACAAGCCTCCTGTCTCAGCCTTCCAAGTATTTGTTTTGTGTTGTTTATTCTCATTCCTCCTGGAGATGAAATCCGAGGCCATTTCCAGGGTAGGCTGGTGCTCTACCACTGAGCCACACCCCAGCCCCTCACTGGGGGATTCTAGGCAGGTGCTCTCCCACTGAGCCACACCCCAGCCCCTCACTGGGGAATTCTAGGCAGGTGCCTCTACCACTGAGCCACACCCCAGCCCCTCACTGGGGAATTCTTGCCTTTCCGTGTGATCTTGGATGAAGCTCTGCCCTGTCTGGGCCTCAGTTTCCCCTGTGTATACAGTATGATAAGGGAGAGCCCACCGGGCCTCCACCCCACCTCCTTCCCAAGGAAAGCCCCAGCAGAAAGCTAGCCTGAAGCTGCAGACTGGTTAGGCCTCTTGTGTACACAGCCCTAGCACTGCTGCATGGAATCTGACCCCAGGGATCCCTGGCCCCAGGATATTGCTGTATTTGCTTTAGAGCCTTGGAGACAAATTCCCCAGCCTTTTAAAGACCCTGGTGGCCTGGGACCAGGATTTGGGAGAAAGGATTAGAATAGCCTTGTTGCTGCCCTCCCCCGCCCTCCCCCTCCCCTCCCCCACATTGTTGAATTGTCATCCAAGATGAACAACCAGCCCTCTTCCTACGATCAGCCCTGCTGTGTCCATGTGCCCGAGAGATTCTCGTGGCTGGGTTGGCTGACTGTTGGTGTGCTCTCATAGAATGAGGGGTGAGGAGGCTCAAGGGACCCTCTCACCTGAAATTCCAGCCATCCCTCCCCTGCCGCCATGTGTATGCTGTCCTGCCCTAATTGCACATGACTTTGGGAGGGCCGGAGTACACAGGCCGGGGAAGACTGGGGGAGGGAGCACCATCTATATCAGCCATGCAGGGAAGCAGACTCCAGGGTAGCTGCTTTGGAATCACCCATTCTCCTGCCCAGAATCCTTCACTCAAACTGAGTAAGCCTAATTAACTCAGTCCCCTGGGGTGAACTTCGGTGGAATGGAACCTTGCTGTGTTGGTGGGACTCTAGGAAGGAGAGATAGATGTTCGTATTTCCCTGGGGGAAGGAATTTTAGAAACACGTCCATGTGTGAGTATGGTATGTGGACCACGGCACACGTGTAGAGATCAGAGGACAATCTCGGGTTCTGGTCTTTGCCTCCTTCTTCAGTTAAGACAGGCAGTGATGGCAAAAAGCCTTTAATCCCAGAGGCAGAGGCGGGTGGATCTCTGTGAGTTCAAGGCCAGCCCGGCCTATAGAGTGAGTTCCAGGGCAGCCAGTACTACATAGTGAGACCCTGTCTCAAAAAAAACAAAACAAAACAACAAACCAAAAAAGACAGTCTCGTGCTCCCCACTTTATATACCAGGGCAGCTGGCCAAGAGGTTCTCATGTCCCCCACTTCCTATCTCACCCCAGGAGCACTGGGGCTGGGTGCTATTGTGCCTGGTTTTATGTGGGCTCTGGAGATTTGAACTCAGGACCTCATGCTTTTGTGGCAAGCATATCCACTGAGCCATCGCCCCAGCCCTTCAGAGGCCTCATAACAGTGCGTAAAGTAGACACCCCGGAGTGAGAACCCCTTGGGTTGGAGTCTAGCTCTGGACATTTTTAGCTACATGAAGTGCCTGTCAGCCTCAGTTTCCCCACGTGTGATCAGCTACAGCACCCCAACCCCCACAGGGCTATTCTTTAGTCCATGCGTATGTCGCGACCCTCCCAGCCGGCCCCGTGGCCCTGGCTGTCTCTTCTAAGGCCCACTGGCTTCCCAGGGGCCATGGTCCACTGATAGAGACTCCGAGGTCCTGCGGCTGAGGGTCACCAGTTCAATCTTTCTCAGGCTTTGGAGTGTGGAGTGGGCTCTGGCCTGCTGCGAGAGAGCAAGTGGGGAGAAGCGTGGAGGGAGGGAGGCCGCAGGCAGGGGGGGAGCAGGCTGGAGGGCTGGCCGGCACTTCCACGCAATCTGTCTGCTATGCAGCCTCGGCCCGGCCTGTATTTATTTATGCTTCGCGTATATTTATACCAACCCCTTTCTCATTATTACGACAGGAAACGGCTAGAATTGTTACATACCTGGAGGCCTAGGGGTCCCGCTCGGCCAAGACACACAGGGCCCTTGGCTGTCCCGCCGCGACTGCCAGAGGGCCCCCAGCCCCAGTCTCCGGCCCTACACTGACCCCCTTTACCAGCACCCGCTCCCAACCCTCTCTCCTCTCTGGGGCCCGGGTGAGGGGGACTGATGTTTAAGTGTCTCCCTGTGTCCCTGGTCCTCACCCCATCTGACCCCAAATAAGGCAATGGCTTCAGAAGCTATATAGGGGGCTGACTGCAGTGAGCACCTCAGACATAACCATAGAGAATGGGGGGGAGGATGATCAAGGTCCCCCCCAATTCAGGGATGGAATCCTAGTTATCCCTGTGTGAGTGTGCGGTGGGCACTCCAGAGATTAACTGCCCACCAAGCCCACCCAAGCCCGGGTAACTTTCCACCTGAGACTGCCCCCCCACTCTGATGGCCGTGAGAGCAGTCTCCATCATCTTCCCCCAGGGTCTCAGGCTTGTGGGGCGTGAGGGGGCTCCTCTGTGGATGACATCCCCCCTCCGGGGCCCCCATACTCCACTCAGAACTGACAGTCTCTCTCAGCAGTCCCA